GGTCAGCGGGGTTGAGGGGTGTCCTCCACTGAGGGAGGCTGGCGGCCGGCCTGGTCATCTCTCATCATTTCTGGGTGCCACACATAGGAAGGGTGCCCAGAACCTGCAGCGTGTCTTGGGGGCGCTGCTCGATGGTCAGGGCAGGCCACGTGATGATGGATTGGTTGGAATGTTTATCCTGGAGAAGAGAAAACTCAGCCACTAGAGCTGTGTCCCCGTATTTCAAAGAGCAGCCGCCTTGGCAGGACTTTGCCCGCTCTGTTTGGCCCCCAGGGGGCACATTGAGGCTCAGGGTCCTGACTGAAGTGGCCTGCCTCTCCACCCTCAGAGGGCTCCGAGCAGCCGGGTGTGCAGGGAGCCGGCCCAGATGTGAATCACCTTGTGTTGCTGCTGAGGGGTTCTCTAGCTTTGGGCCCCGTGGCGGTGAGCCCCGCAGTCTCGTCTTGGGTCCAGGGTATTGTCAGTGGCTCACCAAGCTCCTTCCTGTCGTGGAGGCAGGAGCCCGGGGCTGGGCCAAGAGCCCGTGGGGGAGGGCAGTCCTTGGGGCTTCCTGGGAAAGGACCTTGCCCTGGGGGATGCTTCTGTTTCCAGGGACCATGGTGATGCCAAGGCTGAGGGGGGCGTCGCAGAGGCAGCCCCCAGCAGAATGTCCTGGGTGCCTGGGGTGCACCCTGCTGGTTCCTCAGGCTCTCCTTCTGGGGGTGTGTCCTTAGAAGGTGAGGGCCTGGGGCGGGGCGGGGGAGAGAGACCCTGACTGCCTCAGTTTCCCTTGTGGGCCTTTTGCAGGCTGACGTGAGCATCAAGCTCTGGAAGAATGGTTTCACCGTGAATGATGAGTTCCACAGTTATAGGGATGGAGCCAGCCAGCAGTTCCTGAACGCCGTCAGAAAGGGGTGAGTGACCAGGATGAACCGTTCCCGTGTGGGCGTGTCCGGGGCGTTGGTCGCTGGGCGGTCGGAGGGGGCCTTTTCTTAGTGACCTTGGGATGCAGGGAGGCCTCCTCGTCTGCTGCATCCCTCCCTGGAGGGACGGAGGAAAGAAAGTCCTGCCGAGAGCGCCGTGTGTAGGCCCAGGGATCCATAGCACAGCCACTGTTGGGGAGGCCCAGAGAAGGGCAGGGCCAGGTCCTGCCTGCGTCTCTCAAGGGAGATCTTTGCTGGGCTGGCAGCCAGGCACAGGGAGATTAGAACCCAGGTCCTCTGAGAAGAGTTGGTGGAGCCTGTCCAGAGTAGGCCTTAGAAATACTGGTGATCGAGGGAGGGATTGGTGGGTGCCTGCCTGTGGATGCTGGGAGGGCCGCCAATCTGTGAGGCCAGAGCCTCAGTCTCCCCTCTGATCCCAGCTGAAGGGGGATTTCTCTCCTTCCTGAGGGGAGGCAGCTAGGGGGTGCCACAGTGCCTTCGGCGATGGGTCGAGTCAAGGAGTCCTGAATTCACATCCAACCTCAGACACTTCCTTATTGTGTGACCCTGGGCAGGCCATTTCACCTTTGCCTGCCTCAGTTTCCTCATCTGCACAATGAAAGGGTTGGACTCCAAAGCCCTTTCCAGCTTTAGATCTAAGATCCAGTGATGCTCAGCCATTGGCCTGCCGTATTTCCTGCTTCCCCGATGTGTCTGAGTCACCTCCTTGTACGGGAGTACTAATAATAGCCAGCATTTCCATAGTGCTTCTGGGCTTTCCAAGCACCTCGCAAGTATTAGCTCAGTAATAATAATAATAGCTCACGTTTCTGTGGTACCTGCTGTGGGCCAGGGACAGTGCCAAGCGCTTTTTATCTGTCCTATTCAATCCTCATGACAACCCTGTGAGGAAGGTGCTGTTCTTATCCCCATTTCACAGATGAGGAAACTGAGGCACAGTGGAGAAACGACTTCCCCAGGTCACTGACCGCCAGCTAGGAAGCGTCTGAGGCTGGATTTGAACTCAGTGTTCTGTGCCCTGGGGCACCGCCAGCTGCGTAATTAGGAATTCCACATGAGTGGAGCCTGTGTTGGTCTGTCAGCATTGATTAAGACCTACTGTGTGCCAGCACTGTGCTAAGAACTAGGGGTGCAAAAAGAGGCAAAAGGCCATCCCTGCCCTCCAGGAGCTTCCAGTCTAACGGGGGCCACACATGCACATGAGTATGTGCAGGAGAGACAGGGGAGGAGGAACGGGGGGAGGCCCCGCGCCTAGGGGACCCTGGGGGAGGCATCCTGTCGGACGGAGGGGGCATTTTAGGTGGCATAGAAAGGAAGCCAAACGCACATTCTCGCGGCCAGTCAGGAGGCGGGGGTCGCTGGATCGGAGGAGAAGGCGGGTGACGAAGGCTCCGAAGGCCAGCGGAGCCCTGGGTGCTTGGTCCTGGGGGCCGCGGGGCAGCGGGGTTTTAGCTCTTCATGCTCCCATCACCCAGAGCCCCTCCTCTCCCTGCTACAGCCAGTCCTCCCCCTCCCCGCTCCGGGTCTCTGTGCCGTGAGTCTCTGTCACGCGCTCCCCTCCTCAGATCTCCCTTCAGCCAGGCTCGCTCCCTAGTGCCATCTGGGCAGGCCGTGTTCGGGCTCCCTGGCCCGCCAGGCCTTCCCTGGGGCTGGCATTCAAGACCCCCCCCGCCGCCGTACTCAACCCCATTGAGTCTCTCCTTTCACCGGAAGCCCCGCCCTGGTGCTTCCTGCTGGGGAAGTGCACTTGGGGCACAGCGTCCCCTGCACCCGGGCCGCCCCCAAAGGCCACAGGGCAGACCCAGGGTAGCAGCGGCAGGCCTGGTTTTAACTTTGGCATGTTCCTGGGCTTTGTTCTTCCCAAGAGAGCTGCCTTCGGAGCTGCAAGGGATGTTTGACAAGGAGGAGGTGGACGTGAAGGTGGAGGAGAAGAAGGAGGAGGTGTACGTGTCCAAGAAGCCCACCTTCCAGCCCTTCTCAGGGCTGGGCCACCGGCTGGGCAGGTAGGCCGGACGGCGCTCTTTGCTAAACTTTAAACATATGTGTATACTGCTCTCTTCCGTCTGGATCTATCCCTCCCAGGACCTCCCCAGATAGCCACACCTCGGGCCCATGGCAGGTGGGGTCGGTGGGTGTCCGCGGGGTGCCTGCCTCTGCAGCCCCCGCACCGTGCCAAGTTGAGGAGGGCAGAGTGGCGGACATCGCTGTCACCCCCACCCTGAGGAACGGCACGTGTTGTTCTGGGGCTCACCACGCTGCCTCTTCTCCCATAGTGCTACCCCAAGAGTAGTTTCCAAGGTCAGCAGCAGTGACTGTGGGAACCCAAAGGCTCTGATCTCCGTCCCCTTGAACCCCTCGGAACCCATCACCAGCATCCAGATCTGGTTAGCCGATGGGAAGAGGCTCGTGCAGAGATTCAATGTGTCCCACAGGTGCGTCTTCTGGGACGGAGCGGGGCGGGGCAGGGGCCTGGGGCTTGGGACACTCATTTCTTTAACTCAGCCTGAGAGAGAGAATTTACCAGAATTTACCGACCCAAAAAAAGAGTAGAGCCCTTCACTCAGTGGAGATCACTGGCCAGGGTGGCCAGGGGGCTGCTGCTCTACAGGAGGTCTCAGCTTCTCACCAGGATTTGGAGTATGGTCCCACCCCCAGGCTGCATCCCCCTTCATGTGGTGTATTCACTGCACCCCCCCATTCCCCCCATACAGTGTATTCACATACCCCTACCTCACCCCCTTCCATTCTCCCCTCACACAGTGTAGTCACACACACCTTTAGGCTCAACATCCCCCCCACACACAGTGTATTCACATACACCCTCAGGCTCCAACCCCCCCTCATACAGTGTATTCACACATATCCCCTAGCCTCCATCCCCCCTCATGCATGCATTCATTATTCTAAGGAAGGCCAAGCTCAGCAAAGGCCCCACCCCCACTGTGCTCAGCTGAGGGGTGATATGCTGCGCCCTCCCCCTCCCCAGCCCTATGCAGCCACTCTGGAGGAAGGGGCTCTTTCCAGCCATTCCCCAGTCTCCCTCCTCATCAGCATTTTAGAGTCAAGAAGATGCAACCAACATTCCATTGTTTCCATAGCAACCATCTCAATTCCATCTGCCCTCTGAGAGACCCTATAAACATAATGGACCAAATTAATAAAATTAAAATTGCATGATGATATCATTAGATACAAAGCTTTTGACAAATGCCGTGCATTCATCTGTAACAGCAAAAAGACTTTTCCTTAATATGATAGGTAGGTGATCTGTACCCAACACCAGGCCTGCTAAGAATTGAGGAATGAGTAGATGGCACTCAGCATCCTTCTCTAGGAAGAAGATATTTCTTTAGGCAGGTCAGTAGTCTGTGTCTAAAACCACAAGCCAGCATTAGAGGTAACAGAGGAACAATAGAGGCCTTTCCAGTAAGATCAGGGGTAAAGTGCTTATCACCACTACACATTTTTTTCATTTCTAGACATGCTAGCTATAGCAATAAGACAAGAGGAAGAAATTAAGAGAATATAGATTCAACTAAAAACGCAACTGAAACAATTTCAGCAAAGAAGCAGGAAATAATATAAGCCTGAACCCAGTAAGAAGAGATAGAAAGAGAAATCCATTCAGAAAACTAGAGAGTGTGTAAAATATCTGAGAGTCCACTTCTCAAGACATATACAGGAAGCATATAATACAAGTAGAAGACACTATTTATAGCAATAAAGACTGACCTAAATAATTAGAGACAGTGTTGGGTCATGGTTGGGCTGTTACAACAGTAAAAATGACAGGACCTACATTGATGTACTTATTCAGTGCCACACCAAGCAACTAAAAGATCACTTTCTAGAAATAGAAAAAACTGTAACAGTATCCCTGGAGAAATTACCCAGTCAAGAACCTCAAGAGAAACAATGAAGAAAGCAGGAAGGAAATGGGCCTAACCTGGCACTGTCTCAAACTAGCACTATGAAGTAGCAATCATTGGTTAAAAAACAGCCACGTGAACACTTGATGCTTACTAGCTGTGTGACCCTGGGCAAGTCACTTAGCCCCAATTGCCTAAAAAAGAAAAAGAAAAGAAAGAGAACAAGGTTCCACACCATACATGTCAGTCAGCTCCAGTCGGCTATCTGACCCGTTGGAGAGGTCACACTGTCTGCAAGCTGGAGGAGAAGCGAGGGAGGACGCACACTTTGCCACTATGGACAAGAGTCCTTGACCAAAGCAGGGTTAGAGAGGGCTGCCAGAGAGAAAGTGGACCAGCTCCCACACAAACCAAACCAAAGCCCATAAAATAGAAGGGAAACTGACTGAGGAGATCTTTGCAAACTGCCCCGGGCCCATAAGGAGCCTCAGGACTGAAAGCGGAAGTGGCCAAAGGTGACAGGCAGGCAGCCCTCCAAGGAAGAGACCCGAGGTATCAGCACCGTGTGAAAAAGCGCTCCAGAGCGCCAGGATGAGAGACCCGCTGAGTGATGCCCACCATCGTCATCGTCGTCATGATCGCTTTTATTGAGCGCTTTAAGGCTTGCACACACTCCACAACTTTTCATTTGACCCCCACAACATCCCCAGTTTACAGATGAGGAAACTGAGGTAGGCAGAACTGAAGGGATGTGCCTTGTAGGTGCAGAAGCACTCAGCTGGTCAGTGTCTGCTGCCCCACCTGACTGCCTCTACCATCCCACCTCATGCCCACCAGATGGGTAAAGGGGGTGACAGAAAAGTAGAAGGCCATGTGTTGGGGGGGGAGAGACCCTTTCAGTGAAAGACAAAAAGGGAAAGGAAGCCAGTGAAGAAGCGGACAGGAATGTTGGCTAATGCACAGAAAAGAACAGGGAGGGGTTCAGCAAGAAACAGGTGAGCGGCTTTGGAAAGGCGGTGTTGGATTTTATTTTGGCCTCTTTGAAAAGCCGTAATGGAGATTCGTACTTTCAGTTCCTCTGTTTCTGTTCCTCCCATACAAACAGAGATGCTCTTATTTGGGGGTATTTATCAAATTCAGAATCACTAAACATTTTTAAAACCCGGAGTAGGGATGCAGTTTCAACTCAATTCCACATTTGCTAAGCACCTACTGTGTGCCAGGCACTGTGCTGGGTATTGTAGGTACAGAGACCAAAATGAAATCTTCCCTGCCCTCAGGGAGCTTACATTCTATTAAGGAAGGGGGATAACTTGGATGCAATTGAGTGAATACAGCGTGGGAAGGGGAAGCTCTAAGAACAGGATGGAGGGGACATCAGGACGGATTTTGTGGAGTAGGTAGTGCCTCAATGAGCCTTGAAGGCAGACCAGAATTCCAAGAGGCAGAGATGAGGAGGGAGGAGGGTCCTTTCTCCCCAAGAGGGGGAAGATGCAGAGACGGTTTGAGGAGTGGAAAGAGGGAAGTGGAGCTCACCCTAGCCAGGAGCCCTGGACCTGGGCCATCAGAGAAGGGAAGCTTGGGGGGGGGGGGGGGGGGGGGGGGAAGGATGGAACCTGCCACAGCGCGGTGCAGGGAGCGGACCAGTCTCTTGAGCGCTTGTTAATTCTGCATCCTCACTTACCAGGGTGAGCCACGTCCGAGACTTCATCAGGAACTACGAAGGCTCCCACAGGAATTGGCCCTTCACCCTGGTCACTGCTCTTCCTGCCCTCAAGCTGCTAGATGACACCCTCACACTGGAGGAGGCAGATCTGCAGAACGCTGTGGTCATCCAGAGACGCCAGACCGCACAGGCCCCTCTCCAGGGCCTGTCCTAGCCCTGACACCGGACGGCCCACCCTGAGTGACCCCCCAGAGGAAGGGCATGGGGGTGCGGGGGCCAGTGAGTGGGAGGTAGGGCAGTAGACCCAGACACAAGCGCTGCCCTTTGGGCCCTTCTCCTGCATTGACCTTTGGGGCAGATGCTGCTGCTTCCTTCAGAGGGAATGTGGGTAGCATGAGCCAGCTGCCTTCTGGGCCCGTTGGCACGTCAGCCTTTTCCTCCCTGAGATCGCAGGCTGGGAGCCAGGTGGTGGCTGCTCTGGCGTCCTCAGGAGCGGTGGGATGTTGCTGTGGACAATGCGTATCTTAGATCTGGTTTGTTCTACAAATGGCATTTTTTCGAAGTTGTAGATGCTTCACCATCTCCTGCCCTCGGGACTCACTGCCTCTTCCTCTGCCAGATGCTGGGACTGACCCAAGCTCCCTGTGGTATCCGGCCAGTGACCCATGTCCCTGGTTCACCAGCGGTGTCCTCCCTCTGGTACCTCATTGAAGGGCTCATCAGGGTCCGTCCCTCTGCCTGTCTCTGTCCAAAAGAGAGACTTGCTTCTGTCTGGAGTTCTAAGTGATGCAGCTACTGAGCTCCCCGAGAGGCCTTGCGGTGTTCTTTGTGCAGTGATGTTAAGTAGAGGTGATGGAATCAGAGTAAGAAGCAGGAGAAGCACAGATAAATAGGCCTGAGGTGAGGGTCTCCTTCCTCGTTTGTAGGGAGCCCCACATCTCAGCCTCCACAGAAACAGGAGGCTGGATCCGAGCATCCTACATAGTGCAGGCTACGTCATGATCTTCTTCTGTATGTCTGTGGTCAAGGCTCTTTTTTGGACCCCAGGAAAATGCTGCAAATAAACCACAAGTCTTTCTCCAGACATAGGGAAAGGAAATCATGTGCGTGCAGCATGGCTGCCCCTCCACTGGGTTTTCTGGGGATGTTGGGGCCTGCAGACCAGTGGGGCCACCTCCCAGAAACCATCAGGAGAGCCATGCACTGCTCCTGACATTTTAGGATAGCCGCTATTTAGAGGGAAAAGCAGCTGGAAATGGTAGTGACACCCAGCCGCCAAACCCACCTGTCCCAGACCCCTCAGAAGAGGGAGGGAGGGAGGCTTGGCGGCCTCCGTCTATGTTTGCTTTCCTCAGGGATGTGGAGGAGGCTGCTTCGTTGGAGGATTGACTTTCCACCAGATACACAGCCCTAACAGTTGTACCCCCCCCCCCCCCGCCCAGCATCATCAGTACCTTCCTGGCCTTGGCAGAATGCCTGGAGGATGGGCAGCTGCCCCCTCGGGAGGTGTCAGAGGCACCACCTGCTGCTCCATGCTTCAGGGTGTCTCCAGAATCTCAAGAAGGACGCTCAGCCTCTTGGGCGGAAAATCGACCTTTTTGGAGCTGTGGGGGCTGCTGCTAATGTGCATCATTTCAGGATCTTTCAGTAACGAGAAAGAGCCACCAGTGTCCCCGGAGGCTTGGAGAGCTTTTTGGAAGCCTAATTGTGAGGAATGATCCTGACCTCCCACTGTTAAGAGGGGCCAGAGCCTCCACTGGCAGGACTCCAGGGCGGCAGCTGACAGCAGCGTGCTGCTCCCTGTGCTAGGGGTGCGCTGGCTGCGTCCTTCAAGCCAGGCGGACCCTGTCTCTGTGCAGCAGCGCTGTCGCGAGTCTGTGGGGTGATGGTGACGAGCTGACTTCAGTGCCTTAAAGCGATCGGGAAGACAATTTGTCGAGAAGGGGTAGGGATTGTTCCCTTCAGTATGAAATGGTTTGTAAGAAATTCATTTGAATCAATCGATGTGTGTGTTTCTGAGAGCACAGTGACATGCGTAGCCGCGGCTTCCCCCTGTCCTTGGCGATTCGTTCAATATGGCAACTTGGTGTTTTCAATAAACTTCGAAAAAATGCAAAGTGTCTTTATCAACACTGGGACACAAAAAGGACCTGGATTCTAAGTCTAGCTGGCTCTTGGGGTGGGGGGGAGAGTCCTGGGGACTCACCAACTACCTTCGATTTTACAAAGAAATGTCCAAAAGATGGAAGGGAGGCCAGGAAATGACTGTCAGGAGGGCAAGTCCTATAAAAATAGAATCAAAAATGCAGTGACTCTTAGATAAGCTGCTGGGGCGGGGGAGGGGGACCAAAGGAAGCCGAGGACCAAAACAGAAACCAAATAGAATTTTTGTATCGATGTTGGGGGAAAAGAGAGGCAGGACGAAGGGCAAGGATGGTTCCCTGGGGTGAACCAAATGATGGTAACTCCTCCATTTTGTTGGTTTCTCTTCTCTGGGAAGGAGACAGTAAATGACAGAAAAGAATGACTAGGGGAGATGTGATGCCCAAGATGCCAGGAGAGAGCTACTTTGGCTCAATTCCTGGGTCCTGGCCCAGTGGGAAGGACATCCTTGAGAACAGAAAGAATGAGTCAGGGGGATGGCTTAACTCCATTAGTGACATTCATCTGAAAGAGCGTGGAAAACAGGAGAGCACTGAAGGTACTGGGAAAGGGCAAATGTCCCCATTTCTAATGGGGGGGGAGAGATGAGAATAAAGTTTGGAGCTGAACTTTGATTCCTGGGAAGATTCTAGAACTAAGGAAATCCCTTGGCCAGCCTTCAAGTGCCACCAAGCACTGTCTGGAAATTAGCCCTCATATCCCTCAAAGGCAGAGATTCCAGGGATCATTATCCCCATGTAACAGGGGGGGAAACTGAAGGCAGAGAGGGGGAGTGGTTGGACCAGTTAGTCTATCTGGAGTGGGATTCATGTGAATAACTAGAGCTCAGGATCACCCTTAGCCTGGATCTTTCTTCCAGATCACTGAGCAGGGAAGGCTCATCCCCACCAAGCCTGGAATTCCAAAAGCAGCCCCACCACCAGGGAGAAGCACAATGGCAGTTTGCCCTCATTGAGTTTTTTTGGGTTCCCCAAAGAGTTTGGAATTCCCAAGGAGCTGGGAGGGCAGTGACATAGGGCACCCAAGAGGAAGGGCCACTGGGTCAGACCTCTTGGGAGAGGAGTGCAGGCTTGTGTCCCCAGCATCTCCGTCCATCCTGGACCGTCCCCGGACTCAGGCAGCATGAATCAGGTGCCTAAGAAAGACATGCCTGCCAAACTAAGCTAAATGAATCTTCCCAGTGCTCTCACGAGACTAGCAGGGTTCCCCATCCCCGTGAAACCAGTCTCACCCGAAGGAAGCAGGATCCTCTTCATAGCTCCAATGGCCACGGGACAGGGGATCACCCAGTACCTCTTCTACCCTAGGACCTTCCCCCCATCATTCTTGGTCTCTGCCCTCTGGGGCCAAAAGAACAGATGGGAGGGGGGCATCTCATGCCTTCAGGCTTCCCTAGCACCCCCTCCCATTCTTCTCTGCTGAGACCTCACCCTTCCCTTAGAGGGATGTATCTGGCAGGACAACAAATATTTGTCATTTGCTAGGGTCTTGGAATAATGGTGATGTTCCAACCTCCTATTAATAACCCTGGGAAGGAAACACAGGTATAATTATCATCCTTTTTTAACAGACCCAGTAAGGTTAAGTGCTTTGCCCCCAGCCACACAGCTCTGAATGTCAAAGGCAGGATTTAGCTCTCAGACTCCACAGACAGCAAGCTAGCATCCACCTCCAGGACATGGTGCCTCTCCATGGTGGACTTCCGCTCATCGATCTCCTCCCCAAAATGAAGCACCTAGAACTGAAGCTGGTACAGCTGATGTGGCCTGACCGGGCACCCCACTCCCCCTGGGTTCTCAACTCAACCCCTCCTATTGCAGCCCAAGATCCCCTGGGTTTGGCTGCCACATCCTAAGGTGGACTTGTGCCAACTTTGCAGTTCTCTATTACGTCCCAACATGACCATCTACCCACCCAGGGTCCCACTCACCATTCATGTCAAGTCTAAGCACCTACTATGTGCCAGGCACTGCATGCCAGGTGCTGGGAATACAAAGAAAAGTAAATGACAGTCTCTGCCCTCAAGGAGCTCCCAGTCTAATGGGCGAGACAATACAAAACAAGATAAAAACAGGAGAAGTTGGAGACGATCAATCGAAGAAAGGTGCAAGAGTTAAGGAGGTTTTGAGGGAGGGAACAAATGCCTACTGTGTGCCAGGCGCTGTGCTGAAGCTACAAACCTGATGTCATTTGATCCTCACAACCCTGAGAGGGAGGTGTTATTACCCCCATTTTCCAATTAAGAAAACTGAGGCAGACAGAGTAAGTGACTTGCCCAGGGTCACCCAGCTAATAAGTGTCTGAAGTTGAATTTGAACTCAGGTCTTCTTTACCCATGCATTGCACCGCCTAGCTCCTTCAATTAGGAAGGGATTCCTGTAGAAAGTGGGATTTTACTTGGGATTTAAGGGAAAGGGAAAGAGAAAAGGCCTGTATATGGCACCTGCTATGTACTAGGCATGTGCTGGAGGTAAGTGCTATTGTGACCCCCATTTTAAAGTTGAGGGAATTAAGGCAAACAGAGACTCAGTGACTTGCCCAGGGAGACCCAGTTAGTCGGTGTCAGACGCTGGGTCTGACTCTTTTTTTTTTTTTTTAAGAAAATCTAGGAGTCGAAAAGAGGAGAGGCAGCTTTCCAGGCATGGAGGACAGCCAGAGCAAATGCTCCGAAGTGGGGAATGGGAGTGGGTCGCAGAGTACGGGGGGAGGAGCAAGGGAAGCGATTGCCTGGACCTCCTGGCCTTGACTTGTCTTAAGCTGCTGACCAGAAAGTGCGAGCGAAGCTAGCGGCCGGCCGCCAGCCCTGGGCGCCGCGGCCAAGGCTGGCGCTGGTCCCCGCACCACTGAGGCAAGTACCCCGGGGCTGGACCACATTCTGGCTCTCCCTTCACCCCCGCATCAAGGCCCAGAAAGGGCAAGATCTGCCCAAGGCCACACAGCAGGTTTAGGGTCAGCCAGGACAGCCGTCCCCCGGGGCCAGATAGCTCTAGGATCTGAGAACTCCTCAGCCCTGACAACCTCCTCTTCAGCGCACACTGGGAAGTCCTCCAGCCCCCTCCTGCCCCGCCCTCTCCAGCCCCGCCCCGAAGCTGCAGCTCCAGAAGAGGAACTCGTGCTCCAGGTGGCAGCGACGGTAAAGGACACTGAGGCACCAGAGGCAGCCGGATGGCAACTTCCACGAGGGCTCCCAGCCCCCAGATCCTAGAGAAGGAGAAGGAACCCCCTCAGGTGAGGGCAGGGAGGGCTGGAATGCGAGTCCCAGGGGCGGGGAGGAAGGTCAGTGTCTAGCCACCTGAGGCTGACCTCCTGGCGCTCCTAAGTGGGGAAATTCTTCCTGACTTTAGGTGGAAATCAGCCTCGGAGGTCCAGCCTCGCTAAGCCTCGTGAGTTCCTTCTCCCCTGGGCGGGCATCGCTGTCCAGTGCTGGCTTCACTGGCTCATCCGTCCCTCCCGCCCCCTTTGCTCCAAGTTCCCCCGCACCCGCTGCCCTGGTGGGGGCCCATCTGGTCCAACACGGGCTGGCCGGCCTACCCTCCATGACTTGGCTTTCCCTGGCTCTGGGGAAGTGTGAGGGTGGCAGCAGCAAGATAAGCTTCTATCTGGGGGCCCAGGGAGGGAGCGCAGGCCTGCCGGGTGGGGCCATGGGCGGCTCTTTCCTTCAGGGCTGGGCCTCCTCCGAACAGCCCCTAGCACCTTCTCTGAAGTCCCCTGGAAGGGAAGGGTGGTGGGCCAAGCTGGACTCCCCCCACAGACCCGCTGAGTGGGCATCCAGCTTGTAGGGGAGCATGTACCTCACCTACCTTGCACACACACATTCTCTCCTACACTCATCCACACAGATGCACATACACACCCTGAGCAGTAGTAAGGTTAGGCTGAAGGGGGACCGTCCCAGCTAGAAAGGTGGCCTCCTGTCTGTCCTGGAGAGTTTGGTGAGGTTCCAGGGAGACAGTGGGTGCTAGGGACAGAGTCCTAGGAGCCCTGGGCTCTAGACCCAACTATATCCATAACTCAGTCTTGGAGTCTTTCATTTCTGTGACCTTCCATTCAATTTGATCTCTTCCATGTATTTAGCATTTATTAAATGCCTACTATGTGCCGGGCACGAGGGTTACCAAGGCGAGAATGAAACAGCTCCCTGCCCTCAGGGAGCTGGCATTCTACTGGAGGAACCAGGAGTCCCCAGACCAGGAAATATGAAAGATATGAAGGGTGTTTACAAAGTCTGTACTTGGCCCGTTAGCCATCCCTGCGCCAAAGTGCTTGATCAGACCAAGGCCACTGCAGAGGCAGGAGGAGGCTCCCCTGGGGCCTAGACAGTGACTTCTCTCTGCCCCTTCCTTCTGGCATTGTCTCCAAAAGGGCCCTCCTCTGAGGGCATGGGTCACACAGAAGAGGGGACAGTATATAGGACTTTCTCTGGTGGCAGACATGGGAGTCAGGGGCTTACGGGCTGCACTGTGAGGGAGATCTTAGGTCAGCACTCACAGGCTAGTCTTGAAGAGTTCAGTAACTGAGACCCTTCAGCAAAACCCCCTGCTGCCTTCTCACCCAGGACCCCTTGTGGGGAGGGAGCAGCTCCCTCACCTGAGCACCTGACTCCCAGGGTCCCTGGGTGCCTGACTGTCCCTGGGCTCCTGCCAGGGCTCATGAGGGAAGTCTGTGGAGATGGCAACCCAGCCCTCTGCTCCTGTCTCCCTCAGGTCCCATCCTATGTCTCTCTTCACCTCAGGGGCCTCTAGCCTACCCCCAGTCTGTCCAAGAACTTTCTACACCATCCCCACCAGGGGCATGCAAAGACAGCTTTGCATGAAGTCCCCCAGGGAGGGGGAGCCCCCCACCTCCTGAGGCAGCCCCTTCCTGACATCCAGCCCTCGTAAGCTCCTTGGCATCTACTCCACCCCCAAGCAGACCAAGATAATTTGTTCTCCTGGGAGCGAGCGCAGGTACCAGCTCCTCCGAATTGTTGTCTGTCGGTCGAAGCTACAGCAATCACCTGGAGTCTCCAGGCCCCGCGGCTCCCAGGCCACCTAACACCCAGGTCTGACTGGAGCACCCCCGAAGGCCTTCCCCAGGGCTGCAGAGCTTGCTCTCGCCTTTGGACCCCTGGAGCCCAGCAGGGCTTAGCAAACAGCCGTGTGGACACAAGCAAGGGACAGTGGGACAGTGGGACAGTGGAAAGGTGTCCTGGCCCAGGCTCAGATCCCGACTGCGCTTACCCCACCGTGTGCCCTCCAGCCTCAGCGTCCCCCTCTGCTCTTGATGAACTCCAAAGCTCTTTCTAGCTCAGTGTGTGAGATCCTGCGATGGGGGAGGCTGGGGCCCAGACCAGTCACCTGGAGTCTCCAGGCCCCGCGGGGAGGGGGCTGAGGGAACATTTGTCTTTCCCCAGGGCAGGCCTGCTGGGCACCTCTCGGTGATCTCTAAGCTCTGTTACAGCATCGGGGGGTTCCCCAACCAGGCAGCCTCCAGTGCAGCAGCTTTCTACCTGCAGCTGTTCCTGCTAGATGTGGCCAGGGTGAGACCCTCCTCCCTCTAGCCCAGAGCAGCCTCCTTTCCTGAAAGGGCCCGGGGCTGTGACTGGTCTTGGCCTGAGGGGACGGGTGTGGGCATGTGTGCCCCTGTGCACGTGGCGGAGGGCACTAGGTTACAAAGCTGGCTCTCACCCCATCCCCACTTCTCTTGCCTCAGATCCCCGCAGCTCAGGCCTCGCTTGTCCTGTTTTTGGGGAAGCTCTTGGGGGCCGCGGCTGACCCCGCGGCTGGATTTATCATCAGCCGGAGCCCGTGGACTGCTCTGGGCCGCCTCACACCCTGGTGAGCCCCAGTGGGATCACGGGCATAGGCAGCGTCTGTTTGACTGCGCCTCTGGAAGCAGCCTCTGTGGCCAGGAGGAGGAACGGGGACGGGGGAGGCAGGGTTCCTTCCTGAGGGGACCAGAGGCTGCGCTCACTCCTTTCCACCCTGCCCTGCCCCAGGATCCTGGGCTGTGCACCGTTCTTGGCCCTCACCTACTTCTTCCTGTGGTTCCTGCCTGCCATTGGCCGTCTTCGGGGTCTCTGGTATGGAGCTTTCTATGGCCTCTTTCAGGCCCTCTCCACGGTGAGTCCCTTCCTGGCTGCCTGGTGCCTGCCCACTGCCCCCTGGGCCTCTGGCCTCGGCATTCAATGCTGCAGAGGGGCAGGGGAGGAAGATGGTCCTCCAAAGGGACCCAAGGCCCTTCACTGTCGTGATGCGTCCCCTTCTTGCAGCTGCTCCAGGTCGCATACTCGGCCCTCACTATGTTCCTCACTCAGGACCAGCAGGAGCGAGATTCGGCCACCGCCTACCGTGAGTCAGGAGGTGCCTGGGCCCCTCTCTGGGGAAAATACGCCCGGGGCATGCATCACAGCCAGTCAGTCAATAGACAATTATTAAATGCCTACTGTGTGCCAAGCACGGGAGAAACAAAGAAAGGCCTGAGGAGCCTGGGAGGGGAGGAGGGGGCTTAGAAGGCCAGGCAGAGTGTTTGTCTTTGCTCCTGGAGGCCAGAGGCAGCCCCTGGAGGTTAACGAGTAGGGGGTGACAAGATCAGAGCTGCGCTTTAGGAAAAGTCGCTTTGGTGGCTGAATGGAGGATGGCCTCGAGTGGGGAGAGGCCTGAGAGGGCAGACCCCCCCAGAGGATAGCCACAGCCGAGCCTGAGGGGAGGAGGGTCTGCACCAGGGCGGGCCAGAGGCAGGGGGAGAAGGGCAAATGTGAGAGAAATGACGGGAGAAACCACAGGGCGATAGGCTGGTGTTTGGGGACAGGGGCTCTGCAGCCCCTCATCAGTGACCCTGCCCCCTCCCCACCCCAGGGATGACCATGGAGATGGCCGGGACGCTGACTGGAGCCACAGTCCATGGCCTCATTGTGGCTGGTGCACACAAGGCTCCCAGATGCCTCGAGGCCAACCTCACTGACCCGCTTCTGTCTGTGGCCTCCAGTATCTCTCCCCACACAGTGAGACTCAGCCTGCTAGCAACCCCCAAGGGGCCCCTCTCACCAAAGACTCTCATCGACTGGAGGCCAGGGGGCCCTCTTTGGAGGGAGGGGGAGGGCAATGCAGAGAGGCTCCCACAGGGACCCACTGGGGAATGCTGAGGGGCCACCTTGTGACCGCACGGTTCCCACAGAGTCAGCTTTACATGATTGCCGCCGGGGTCATCGCGGGAACCTATCCCCTGTGCACGGCCCTGCTCGCCCTGGGGACCAGAGAGGAAGACGGTGACTGTGGATGGGGGCAGGATTCCCTTTGGGGCTGGGGGCTCCTCTGGAGGCAGGTCCTCTCCTAACATCACACCGGCATCCCTGTGGCCTCCAGATCTCTACATCCTTGAGCAGCAGAGGGTCTCCTTCTTCCAGGGGCTTGGCCAGACCCTCCAGCATCAGCCATACCAGAAGCTTGTGGCTTCCTTCCTGTTCATCTCTGTTGCTGTCCAGGTAACTCCAGCCCAGTGTCTGTCCCACTGACCCTAGGAGAGCCCCAAGATAGGAGGGAGGGGCTGGTGAGCCCCTGACCCAAGGCCCAGGCAGGACTTCCATGGGATGCAGCCAGGGCCTGGGGGTGGGGGAGGTGCTGAAGCACAGCAGACTGAGGCTACGGGCACCCTTGGGCCCTGCTGAAATCCTCAAGCCCAGCATCCCTGGGGGCTGGGGACAGTCTTTGAGCAGGACGTGGGTCATAAAGACGGGGCCACATGTGGGCTGTCCAGACTCCTGCCACCCAGTCTGCGCCCAAGTCAATGGTCTTCTGTAATGATGGCGGCCTTCTATGGCATGACCCAGTGTCTGCTGAGCCTGGCAAAGGTGCCCACTATGCTTTGGGGAGAGCCCCAGCAAAGACCCACAGCCCACATCGATGGGAGAGCTTAGCCATAGGCTCCTTCCAACATGCCCTCCTACTAACAAAGGAGTTCCCAGAAAACCAGGACAGGCCACCCAGGGCCTCACGCCAAGACATGAACAGATGGTCACTAAGGCCTGCTCCGGATGGAGCCCTGTGCCCGGGCAGAGGTCCATCCCTGCCTTATGGGAGCTCAGCCATCTATAGTAACCAGTGCCCACCTACCCAGGGCCACAGCCAGGGAACCTGGCCTCCAATGTGAACTCCCCAAAGAGTCGGGGTGGGCAGTGGGTTTGGGTCCAGGAAACCTGGCTTCAGATCCTCTCTGGGCAAGTCTCCCTGGTTCTTGGGGGCCGAGGGCCCTGGGGCCAGCTGACAGCCACTGTCCTCCTGTCCCTGCAGGTTCAGCAAAGCTATCTCGTCCTGTTCTGCACTCACGCGGCCTCCCTACATAGCCACGTGCAGAGTCTGGTGCTGCTGGTACTGGTGAGGGGGCCAGCACTGGGCAGGGGGGTCACAAGCAGAGGCCTGGACCTTCATTTTGGTCCCTCGGGATGGAGCTTGGAGATCCCCAGCAGTGGTGATGACAATGTGGTTCCCTTCCCCCAGGTGGCAGCTGTCCTGAGCACCCCATTCTGGGAATGGTTCCTGCAGAGAGTTGGGAAGAAGGCAGCGGCCTATGGCATTGGGGTGTGTGAGTGCAGAATGGCTCAGACTGGGCTGATGGTGAGGGGGTGGCTTACAGAATTGGGGTATTGACTGCAGGGGGGCCCAGAGGGTCTGATGGGGGGCAGCCTCTAACAGGTTCCCCTCTCCCCTCCACAGGCAATGGTGCCCTCTGCGCTCCTGCTCGCAGCAGCCCCCACTGTCCCCGTGGCCTACACCATGGCCTTCGTGTCGGGCACCAGCATCGCTGTGGCCTCGCTGCTGCCCTGGTAGGTGGCCCAGGACAAGGATCCTCCCGGGGGGGGTAGCTGCCGGGGGGGGGGGGTTTCCTGACCCGCTGCTGGTAGCAGCTTAGGACAAGTGGACATGGGTCAGAGGTGCTAAAGGAGAGCCCAGCAGGGTCAGAGGAGGGTGGGTGTGGGCTCATGAGTTGGGCTGGACTTGGAAGGGCAGGCAGGATTTGGGAAAGCAATGAGGCCAGCCAGTGTTCGGAGAAGTCTAGACAGGCCCAGCCGAGTGAGGCTGGAACCTCAGACCATGGGGAGCCAAACGGAGCTTCGTGCCAGGGGAACGTGGCCAGACAATTATGGTGGCAGCTGTGGGCACTGTGGGTAGAGAGAAGCCCAAGGGAGAGGTGACGAGGGCCTGAGCCAGGGCAGCAGCTGGTCCTGGGAATGGAGGGGCAAGGGAGGGAGAGCCCTGCTGTGGGCCAAGCGCCTTACACATGTTCTCTCACTGGGTTCTCAACAACCCTGGGAGGACGTGCTGTTATTATCCCCATTTTATAGATGGGGTAACTAAGGCAGGCTGCAGTGACCTGATTTGCCTAGGGTCACATAGCTTGTAAGTGTTTAAGGCCAGATTAAAACTCAGGTCTTCCTGATTCCTGGCCCGGCGCTCTATCCACTGAGCCACCTAGCTACCTCTGGGCAGCTCTGAGGGACAGTGGATGTGGGAAGGTGGGAGGATACTGTGAGCCTGGGGCCCCTTTGAGAGGAGCAGGGCAGCTTGGGGAGGGGGCAGGACTGGCCTGACCGGCCCTCCCCTGGCTTGTCGGGGGCCATGTACAGTGTGTGTCGGGGCGGGGGGCTTTGTCCCCAGGTCCATGCTGCCAGACATTGTGGATGACTTCAGACTCCACAAACTTCCTCTGAAGGGCTTGGAGACCATCTTTTACTCCTCCTACGTCTTCTTCACGAAGCTGTCGGGGGCAGGGGCTCTGGGCATCTCCACCCTGAGCTTGGAGTGAGTGACTTGGGCCATGGAGCCCCACTGAGAGCAGGGCAGGAGGTGCTGGGTGGCAAGGGGGAGCCGTGGGGCCCTGAGGGGAGCAAGGCAGGAGGTGCTGCAGGCAGGGAGGGGGCCGTGGGGTGGGGGAAGCACGGGGCCCCGGGGGGGCCGGGGGGGGGGGGCCGGGGGGGGGGCAGGGGGGGCCACAGGGGAGCGAGGCGTTCAACGTTGGGGCCACATCCAGCCTTGGTGCCCTATGGGAGCTGGCCGGGCTGGAGGGTCCAAGGAGATTGCCCGCCAGCCCTTGGGGCTGGGGAGATCTCCCAGCTTTTCCCATTCCTGGGAATGTTTGGGGCCATCGCTGGCCAGTCCTGCCACTCAAGCTGTTTGTCTGTGACCATTCCGCTGCCCAGAGCCTGCTCACAATTAGGGTTTGGGCTCATTTCATCCCCATAACAAGCCTGGGAGGTAGGTGCTCCTATTTTCCCCATTTTACAGATGAGGAAACTGAAGCCCAGAGAGGCTGTTACTTATCCAGGGTCACACAGCCAGGGACACTCTGCGCACTGCCAGGGGTCCTGTCACAGGCCTCGGTTTTCCCCTGCTCCCTCGGCCTGCTGGCCTGGTGTCTCCTATGGGTCACTGGGGCCCAGAACAAGTTCTCCAGGTGAGGTGTGACAAGGGCAGAGGAGGGCAGGACCATCACTTTCTGCATCTTGTAAGGCAGACCCATTTTGAATGAATGACTATGACATTTACTCATATGGAGCTTGTGGCCCACTGAGACCCGAGATCTTTTTCCAAGACAGTTCCTTGACCATGTGCCCCCTTAGTTTTTTGGACCCAAGTGCGAGCCTTGCATCAGTGCCTCTTGGTGCCTATAGATCCAGCCCACAGCTCTGGCTGGTCTAAATTCTTTGGGCTCGTGGCTCTGCCATCCAGAGCGTCAGCCCTGCATCCAAGCTTTGTGTCGTCTGCAAATCTGATGAACATGCCCTTAATGCCTTCTTCCAAGTCACTGATTAAAATGCTAAAAGGGCAAAGGGACACAGACATTTATATAGCCCTACTATGTGCCAGGCACTGTGTGAGGTGCTTTACAATGATCACCCCATTTGATCCTCACTGCAAGCCTTCAAGGCAGGGGCTGTTGTTATTCCTATTTTATAGCCGAGGAAACTGAGGCAGACAGAGGCAAAGTGACTTGCCCAAAGTCACCCAGCTAGCAACTGTCTGAGATTTGAACTCAGGTCTCCTGGCTCCAAGCCCAGGGCTCTGGGCACTCTGGCACCCCCTAGACACTTCTAAATAGTGCCCCATCCACCCCTGGGTACTTCCTTCCAAACTGGAGTTGGACCATTAATGACTCCGCAGTCACATGGGGGGTGCCCATTTCTCCAGCTCCAGCTACCATCACTGGGTCCACATCTCTCCATCTTGTCCACAAGAATAGTGTGAGACCCTTGGTCAAGTGTCTGCTGAAATCCAGGGGCAGTCAGGTGACCCCCAGAGAGTGTGACATGCTGGCTTATGTTGGGGGCTTGAAGGCGGCTGCAGAAGCTCACCAGTAGGTCCTGGCCAGGTTATTGGGATTTTCTCATTTGGATGATGAGGTGATGATGCTCTGGCCACCCCTTGTAGGCCTTCCAGCGTGGTAAAAATGGGAGGGACGACACTGTCCGCTGTCCCTGATGAGGATAGGACCTCAGCCAGGGCAGGTCAGCAGTGGGGCATCCTTGCTCATCATGGGGACCAACTCTCCTTTAACTGTTTGGGTTCTATCCTTTCTGGTTTCCAGATCCCTCGTTGTCCTTTCCAGAGGGAAATAAGCTTTCCTTCTCTTGGGGCTCCACCCCAAGCAATGCCCTTCTCCCTCCTTGGATCCTCCTCAGCGAGGCGACCTGGCCTGCCCTGGCCACTAAGGAGCTGGCCATGGCTAGGAAGTCCTCCCTCAGACCATCCCAGCAGGTCCCTTCACCTCCCAGTGCCCCCCAGGAAACTCCTGAGACTCAGCTGCAGAAGAGGTGCTGAGCCCCTGCTTAGGGGTGGATGCAAGAAATCTGGTCTGCTCCCTATCATTTAAGAAATTCTTTTGGATGCCTTTCATGTCCCTTGCTGGTCCAAGTTTCTGCTGAACTCTACACTCCTGACTCTTTCCTTGTGGGGCCAGACCCCACTTCTGGGCCTCTGCTCTTGCTTCCTCACTTCCTGCCCTCACTTCCATCTTCTGGATATCCACACTGGCCAGTGAGATTCTTATGCATCCGCATCAGTCGATCTCCCCCCTCACTGGAATTGTTTCAGCATCTTCAAGATTTCATTCTTGAGCATCTGCTATCCCTGAGGGGCTGACTTTCCCTGAAGAATTTGAGTCTCTGAGATCCTTTCTCTGAGACCTTGGAAAATAACTCTCCTTGGGGCAGCTAGGTGGTGCAGTACATAGAGCTCTGGCCTCGGAGTCAGGAGGACCTGGGTTCAAATCCAGCCTCAGACCCAACACTTACTAGCTGTGTGACCCTGGGCAGGTCACTTAACCCTGATTGCCTCACTGAAAAAAAAAGCAAAAAAGAAAAGAAAATAGCTCTGCTGACATCTATGGCACCCCTTGGGCTGTGCCCCAACTTTTCTCTCCTCTATCAAGAACTCTGGGCTAGAGTGCATGTTACCTCAGGGTTCCCAGCACTCTCATATCAGCAACCAGTTAGTGAGAATTAGGTAAGAAATAGGATTGCTCCCAATGGATTCTTTTACCTTTTGAAGGATGAAATTATTAGTAAGATAAATCAAGGTGTTATTAGATGGTCTTCCTTTGGCAAAAGTTAGGGAAGAGAGAAGGGATGGAGAGAGGAAGGAGGAGGGGGGAAGGGACAGGAGGGAAAGAGGGGAAAGAGCTAGGAGGAAGGAGAGGGAAGGAGAGGGAGAGATGGAGGGAGGGGGAGAGAGACAGAGAGGAAAGAGGAGAGACAGAAAGAGGGGGGGAAGAGGAGAGACAGAGGGAGGAGAGAGGAGAGAGAGAGAGAGAGAGAGGGAGAGAGAGAGAGGGAGAGAGAGAGAGGAAAGAAGAGAGAGGAGAGAGAGGGAGAGACAGGAAAGAGGAGAGAGAGAGGAAAGAGGAGAGAGAGAGGAAAGAGGAGAGACAGAGAAAGAGAGAGAAAGAAAAGAGAAGAGACAGAGAGGAGAGAGAAAGAGAGAGAGGAAAGAGAGACAGAGAGAGACAGAGAGGAAAGAGGAGAGACAGAGAGAGGAGAGAGACAGAGAGAGAAAGAGAGACAGGAAAGAGGAGAGGAGAGGAGAGAGAGAGAGAGAGAGAGAGAGAGA